CCACATCATGCTTCTTCCCATGCTAGATTATGGAGATTTTATATATGTGAGAGTTTATTCCGTTTGTTTATTGTTTATTCCGTCTTTTCACTGGCTGTAGTTGGACACTTCTTTAGCCGTGTTTCCATCAACGTTTTTTTAATGCGCATTTTGTATCGCATTACAAAAAGTTTACGGAAACGGCAAATTCAAAATCCTCAATTTCACAAAAAGCTCGCTGAAGTGGTTTTGCCTTGTGGAAAAAGAGTAAATGTGCTAAATGGGAGATGGAAACACTTTTGCCGAATTATCGAACTTGTAACTCGCGCCTGATTCCCATAACGTGCGCAGATGGCTGGAAGCAACTTGCCCGCTTGAAACACATTCCTGAGGACCTCGCTCCATTTTCTAAGATCAATAGCCATCATGTCCATCCACTGGTTTTGTTTCTTGTTTGAAACCCTTACGTCTTGTTTATTACAGCCATGTTTAATGCAAACTACTGACGTAACTACGCTTGCCGTAGCCTGGTTTATTCGTAAGTGCACTTAAAATTTTCATGACAATTAGATGGAAACATGACTATTGTACCTTTTACTGTCAAGCTCAATGGCCCATCTATGCAAGAAGGTATAATCAGTGGCTGTGTTTTATCTATAAGGAACTTCTACCTTCCCGAGCGTTTTTCTAACAAGGACTCACAGCCATTATGGATTACATTCTAAGGACGTCCTGCATTTGCTTGGAAACTGAAACTGACTGTCTTTATTTCTTATAGACAGACACTTCTTAAGGATATGGGGCAGGTGAATATTGGTCAGTGCCTTTGTTTCTAAATTAATGTATTTATATGTATTTTGCCTTATTCAGTGAGGCTTGTGTTTATTTAAGTAATTAGTGTCTTTTATATGTTTGAAACTTGTCCTTCGTGTTCTTTAAAGCTTGGCCAGGTCTCTCTTGCAAAATAGATTTTAATCTCAACGAGACTCACCTGGTTAATTAAATAAAGGTTCTGTAACTTCAAACTTTGAAGAAGTCAACTTTGACTATACGTCACCTGCCTTGAAAGCCCTGGGTGTCTCATGCTGCATATTATCACCTTATAAAGTTGTCATACTGAATGCGTTAACATGTACAGACACAGAAAACATTTTCATCCAACTGGAGTTGTGTTTGTGTCAAACCTGATGAATATAACTCCAATACTCACTCTCCCTTAGCACCGGTTTGGTCTTCTCCAACTCTGGTCTAGTCTCTAACTGTGTCTGCCTGCAGTTTGCTGCTGGGCAGGTTGTGCACAGTGGGTTTCAGAGCTAAGTGGCTGAAATGAGGTGGATGAACCACAACAGTAACAGGCTGCAGGCCTTGAAAGCAAAACAGTGAGCTGAAAGATGTCTAAAGCTGTCTGTATAGCTGCAGAGTTAATCACTCGTCATTCTCATTAAGACTATTTTAATAAATGTAGATTTTAACAGACTCAATCGGGGTTTTCTGTAACAACTGTATATTACATACAATTGCATCTTGAATTACATTTAGGTTAAGATATAGGTCGGCTGTCAGTGATGCTCATCAGAGGTATACTAATACAAACTCGTGTGTAAATGTGACTTGGGATGATTCGCTCTGAAAGGAAGTAGGACTGTGCCACAGGAAATTTTCAACACACACACACCAAGCTGTAAGCTCCGAAACAATCCACCACACACTAATTTGGTGTACATTTCTGTTCTGTTCATTAAAATGCATGTGCCTCTTCAAAGCGCTGACGACAATGATGCCATCTGCTGTTGTGTGGCAAGGGTATGTGTACACACACACACACCACACAACACACTCTGAGACACGCTGATGTGTGTAGAAATGCACATTCACACACATTATTGCACTTTCACAAAACACACACACACACATTATTTTATTCCCACATTCCCATGTACTGAACGACAATCCTGCTCTTGTGCACATTACAGCTCTGCATGCAGGTAATTTCTGGTTGTAGTTCTTACAGAAACAAACACACACACACACACACACCACACACACACACACACACCCACCCCAACAGAAATTTCAGGCAATTTGCTTTCATCTTTGGGTCATTCCTGCAAGCCCAAACGTCCCTTTTAAAAGCGAACGCTCCTCTTCTCCTCTAAGTGCGTCGCACAAAGGGCCCATTTCAAAGGCAATTCCACTTAGATTCACAAGTGCTGTGTATACTCTGGTACTCCAGGCAGAAATTCATCAAAGCTTAATGTTCCCTTCACAGAAATCACTTAGCGCAGAAGCTAGCTGCCTGTGTGTGTGTGTGTGTGTGTGACCGTGTGTGTGTTTCCGCAGCTTTTCCACGTTGTTTGAAGGGCCAGACATTCACTGTGGCGCTGTTCACCGTCGGCCAGATATACTTCTGTTCGTATGTTCAGATTCATTACAATAAAAAGGTTTGTTTGAAGATGCAAAGACAGGCTTTCAGGAAAGCTAAATTAGAGACTAAAGCTGTTGGTTAAGTTTAATTTGGTTAGTTGGTTTAGTTAACAATGGGAGTATTAATACAAACTTGCAAACGTATCCAAAAACAACCTGGTAATCTAAGAACAACATAAAGGAAGTGATGCTTTAAAGCTGTAACATGCTACTTTTTGAAGCTGACATTTTTTTAGAATTAGTTTTGTAGTTAAGTATTTCATTTTTTTATTATTATAATAATTTGGCTCATTATACTAAGCCTTTAAGAAACAAAAGAAGTTTTTTGTCCCCCTCTGCATCATTTACATTTATTCTTTTAACACTGTTTGTCCAAGTGACATTACACATTGTCAGAGCCTCTAGCACGAGGGGTTGTGGTCTTTGCTCAGGGACACATTGGTGAATGGGTCACAGTGGGATTCAAACCAGAGTCTCTTACACCAAAGGCAAGTGTCCTGCCACAATACACCCATGATGGCGCAGACAATCTAAAGAAGTCAAATCTGTCTGCACATGTTTAAATGGATTCTAACTTCACATTTAGTCTTATCCTGATGTTGTTCGTCTCCCTAAATGCACAGAGACAAGAGAAGAAGAGGAAAACTGCAGGAAAATCAATGAACACATATGGACTTGTTTTATCTGAACGCATCTTAGATCCAAGCTTAGCAGAAATACCACAGGAGCCATCTCACAAGCTCAGGTTTTGCCACTGTGAGCTGACTGAACCAGGCGTCACCTTTTACTAATCACACTGACGTCGCTGGAGGTCCAGCAAACTTGTAAATCTGTTAAATCCACTTGATATGAAATGAAACTGTGTCAGCAACTTGAAATTTATTCAGAAACATTCTGTTTTCCGACCCTTTTGAACAGAAAGCGAACACCAGTGACAGCTCAGCATTAATGCATTATAAACGGCTCACGCTGATGCCAGAAAACTGTCAATCATATGTCGCACAGTTTAGCTGAAACCACGTTTGTATCAAGCTAATGAACGCTGACATCCCACAATGGGAGAAAAAGCTTTTGGCTGATGCACAAACGTTAACGGCTGTTTGGACTGAAAAATCTGGCACATTAAATTCACCAGAGAGGCTTTAAAGTCGCAAAACGCATTTTTTTTTTTTTAATATTAGAGTATTCTGTGTACGGTTTTCATTAGGACTTTCTTGGTACAAAAAAATGTTCTGGAAAAAGTTCATATGGTTCCTTAATTCGAGCTTCTTGCTACAAGGATGAAAAGCCTGCCACCACAATGAAGACATTTTTAAACCTAAAAAAGATTAATTCTTCAACAAATCATTGCTATCTGGTTCCTTAAAGAGTCTAAAGTGTTTAAAGACATCCCCTGTCCTCCAACCATGTCCATCCTACCTTTGACGGAGGTGTTGGGCGGTGGGCCCTCCATGCGCAGGTTCCACGGCGGGTCTCCCTGGTTGGCGAAGTCCCTCATCTTCAGGTAGCTGATGGTGAGTCGGATGATGGAGGCCTTGTCCAGCTGGCTGGTGATGGCGCCCGGCAGCGGGAGCATCTTGGCCAGTTCATAAAACTCAAAGTTCTCCTTTCCCCGCCGCGATCGCGCTGCGTCCCGTGACTTCTCCTTCCTCAGAGCCTGCAGCCTGGACAGAGAGCGGCAGAATGTTAGACATCTGATTTAAAAAAAGACATGACGCGCAGAATGTGATTCACGGTAGACTTCTTATGCACGAGACAACTTCATGTGTCAGTGGACCATAATGCACCACCAACCCCATTCCAGAAATATTAAGTAGAAATATATTAATGTATATCATTCTTTCATTCTGTATTTCAGAGCTGTTCCTACTGTTCATAGTTCAAATCCACCTACCTCAAGTACGTAACACCTTTATAATGTGTATGTGTTCTCTATACTGTAGCCTGCATCTGATTTTATTATTGTACTATTGCATAAGTAAGCACATCGTGAGCAATGTACAATCCTGAGTCAAATTCCTCGTATGCGTACACATACCTGGCAAATAAAGCCGATTCTGACTTGAAAAATAAATACGTTTTAACTTTTGTTCACCATGTCCAAATAATGCTGCAGCAAAATACAAGAAAAAAGATGTAAAACATGCACAATAAACTATTTTAAACACATTCTGAAAGTGCTACTCGCAATTAATTAGCAATTTCATCATAGTATGTATGCAGTTTAGGGAATCACGGGAGAGAGACTTTTTAAAGAATGTCAAATGAAATGCAGCAGAAGCCAAGATCTCCTGATTTTCCATCCCTAGTATGGTTTAATCAAACCAAAACCATATTTTTTCAAGAATGTAGCGTCAACTCTGGGTCACCTCCTCCAAATAAGAACTCCTCTACCAAAACTCATGAATACTTCAGGATGAAATGGGTCAATCACCCGGCCAAAGTCTTAAAAAAAAAATGCTAGTGCGTTTTACATGATGATGCATGATGCTTCCTTTGCTACATGAGTACTGGGTCATGTTAATATGCAGTATAGTGACATTAAAGGCTCATGAAGTTCAAGGGTCATGAGACTCCGTTCAAAAAAAGAATTTACAATTCAAAGAAAACTGAAACTCTGTTGAGGAAGATCCTGTGATGCGTTTCAAAGCTTAAGAACAGCTAACAAACTGATAGTGTGTTTTGTCATTTAATATCTACTTATTATAAAATCTATCCAGGCACGACATCTTTTGCATGTCTCTATAAAATGTGTTGCTCTTTCCAGGGTTCTCCCCACCCAAAAATTTTGGTGGGGAGATCTTCCTTTTCCAAATTATTTGTCCAAGGACATAGGGGGTCGTATGTTGTACAGATTTTAAAGCCCCTTGAGGCAGATTTGTGATACTGAGCTGTATAAATGAAATTGACATGACTGTTCTGACTCGGGCTATTTACTTGTGACCTCCATTTGCATATCAAGCGACACCATGTTGGGTCCCGACTCCAAGGTTGGCAAAAGACGACAAATCAGACGTCGTCTTGCACCGGGAGATGACAATTTGTAGATGTGAGATTATGCAAGTTTGTGGATGACATCAGCTGATGACTTCCAGTGATTTTTCCTTCCTCACAGTTCACTCACATGACTCTTTCATATCAATATAAAGAACTTCAACGATCGCTGAGGGGAAACTCCGCCAGCAGACATCTCCTTCGTCCCTGATCCTGTCCTTTACTGTATTACCTCATTAAAACTACACTATGAAGTACCTGACACACTCTTTTATTCTATTACTTCCTTTTTGTCCTCCATCCTCTCCATCACTTTCCACTCGGTTACTTTATATCAAAGAGCTGCTCTGTTTATTCTCTCTCTCCTTCTCACTCTCTCTCCCTTTCACCCTTCAACAACAACAGTGACGACCATACTTTCCTGCGGCCTCTCATCATCATCGCACGCCGGTATGAATTAACTCGGCAATAAATCAGCTGCTAAAAACCTCTGTGGGCTTCCTGCCGGCCACACACACACACACACACACACACACACATTAAGACAGGTGATTAATTTTTGCCTGAGTAAAAAAAGTGTTGGAGGGATAAAGGGGGAGGGGGAGGATAAGAGGAGGAAAGGGATGAGATAGAGGGATAGCGGAGAAACGCTTTAAAGGAGCAGGAGGAGTTGTTTAGGGCTAGAGATGAAAAATGGCTGTCATCTGGTGAAGAATATTATTTTCATACGGTTTGTCATTTACTTATCAGGAAGAACAAACACCAAACGATGAGAGGAGAGGAGAGGAGCGGCTATCTGAAGCAGCTCACTGTATTTAAGAAACATGTTTTTCATTTTACAAAAGGAGGAACGTTTCTCAAATTTAAATCATGGCCTAAACCTGAGAGCGCTTTGATTTAAATTTGGATCTAACTTATGTCCACATGTTCAATGTCAGCTTTCAGAACAGAACAGCTTTCAGTTTGGTGAGTACAGAAACAGTATTGAGATCAATACCCAGCCCTACTCTTAAATATGGGGTGGTGGTGATGGTACAGTGGATAAGACACATGCCTTTTGTGTGAGTGACCCGGGTTCGAATCCACTTGGAGACACCAATGTGTCCCTGAGCAAGACACTTAACCCCTCATGCGACCTCTGACATATATAGCAGTTGTAAGTCGCTTTGGATAAAAGCTAAATGAGTAAATGTAAATAACTTATGACAATTTTTACCCACTGAATTGTATATTCATAGCATAGTTAAAAAGCAAACAAAAAAAGTTTTCTTTTTCACTATTAAAGTGACTAACAAATCTTCTTGGACGCCACCTGGAGTTAGGTGAGGAGTTATCGCTATAGTTTGGTTGACTTTTCTAACAAAAAAAAATAAAAAGGATCAACACATTTTAAATGTATTCCCTGAAAGCGCTGCTCTCTGCTACCTAACTCACACACAGGTCCTTTCAATCACTTAATAAAGGCTATCAGAGCCCTAGTGATGCACAATACAGTAGGAAGTAAACAAAGTCACATAAATGACATCAATCAAAATACAATAAATTAACTCAAAACATCCCTCTTACAGGTTTTCTTGTTTAAACTAAACAATATGGCTCCAACAACTAGCCTATTATTTACTCACATGTGTCTTTGTGTGTGTAGCCAGCAGTGATGGCTTCTGGGAGAACAAGGAGAAGCCAAGCAGACAGAATTAATTTGTTCCACAAACTTGGAAAGCATTATGTTGATGGACGACAAATACGTCTTCATGTGTGCGTGTTTATGTATGAGTGTGGATATGTGCGGCGTGTGTGTACCTGGACAAGGAGGTGTGGTTTGACCTTGACTCAAACAGACATATTTATCATGTACTGGCTGAGTAGGTAAATGCAACACTTGTTGTGATTGGTGTGTGTGTGTGTGTGTGTCTGTGTTTGGGTCTTATAAACATGAAATGAAACTGTGTCGTAAAGTTCAGCCGGGTGACTTGATGGTGTTTTAAAGAGCTTGTCACGGCAGGCGAGGTGTGTGTGTCATGTCGTAAAGTTCAGCGAGGTGGGTCGATGGCTTTTTAAAGAGCTTGTCAGCTGAAAGGAAGAGATATGCGTGTTTCCGTATGTGCATGTGTGTGACTATTTTAAGAGCATGTAGGCAGAGAGCATGTTGGGGAGGTCACTAGGTGGTCGAGCTTTAACGTCCAGGACAACTGGAGGTCAAACTGGCAATCAGAGGGCAAGACGTCAGGCAGATTTACCGTCTGTGTTTGGAAACGTCTGACTCATAGTTAGTGTAAAAATACCCATAAGTACTGATACATTTTTTAATCAATACACTTAACACATACAATTATCATATATCACAATTATCACACTGCTATAGTGTTCCTCCACCTAATTACAGGGCAGTCAAAAGCAACTGCATAACAGCTTTGCTAACACCCACCATGACTATGTAATAACATCCGATTTCTATCCAGTCAAAGAAATAAAAAGGGAGCATCCTTTAATTCAGTATCAACACTGTGGAGCTCTTCTGCCTACTGACGGCGCCATCAGACGGACAACGGTAGAGAGAGTAATACTGAAGTGAAGAAGCCCTCGTTTTCCATTCCCCTTCTCCTATTACACTTTGAGACAATACGACATTTATAAGTTTATAACCTCCCATGCTGTTGCCGCCATCCTTAGTTGCTCTGCAAACAATTAAAACAGTTAAAGGAGGAAAAATGCTGATGCTTTGACTGACAAGATGAGATTTTAATCGATGGCTCCTGACTCCTAATGATAAGGAACCAGCAGGAAGCAGTCAGGGAAAGGGGGTTTTGACAGCAGGCCTTCGAGGGAACAGGATTTATGCCGCGTTCCAGACCAGTCGGAACTGGGAAATTTCTAAGCTGAAATATCGGACTTCCGACCTTCAAAGCGTTTCGGCTGCATGGTGCTGCATGACGCTAATGTAAACAACAAACATGGCAGACCGTGATAAACATGTTTCTTTGGCATATTTATGCACAGTTAAACTCTCAGCAGTGCACTTGGTGTTAAATAAAAGGATGGCCATTTTATTAAAAACAACTGATTAATATACGTTACTCATTAACTGTGTTTTCCTTCTAGCTACATCAGCTGGTAATCCGCAAAAGTCCACAAAATTTGGAGGCTATATCTCCAAACGTTTTCACATTTCTGGGCCTTTTTAACATTTCCTTGAATAACTTTTTGGCAGAGGAGATGACTTTCACAGATTGTTTACTGCAACCAGCTACCAAATAACACTGACAAAGTATTTCTACAACAATTTAAATGCAGAACAAGTTTTAATATCTGATACTAGTATGTATTATTTTAATTTAATACTTTATTTTGCCTTTTAGTTTATGCTTTACCATTTGCAATTTGTGCTTCCATGGGAGCTGCCATTGTTGTGCGACGTCATCTGGCTGCGACTTGTGAAGTCGGGGTACAAATTATTTCTCCGACTTCACGAGTAGAAAATTCAAGTGGCATTTTCTAGAACTTTTTCTAGTCGGAGGTTGGACATTTCCCATTTCCGAGTGGCCTGGAACGCAGCATTTGTCTGACAACACGTAGCACAAACTAGTTCACGTGAAACATAGTGAGGACTTAACTAGAAATAAAATAGCTGCACTTTATGCAAAAGCTCACATTTAGTTCATAGTCCACATTGCACTGTGGAAGAAAATAAGAAAACATTAGTTTAGAAGTCAAAAAACCTTCAATGCAATCTAAATTTACTTAAACTTTATTTTTTAAATACTTTTCAGAAAATAAACCTCCAATAGTCATACAACAAACATCTTTT